GCATCATCCTCCAGAACAGCGAGCCCTAACACCAGTCTGCCAGTCTGCCAGCATCAACTCTTCCAAGAAATCCCAATCGAGCCCACTCCAAGCAAAGGCTTCTCGAAAAGGGGGATGCAGATATCAAATACTCCCCTCGCACATCCGCCTTCTCCACCCTCCCCTCCCGCTGGTAAAGCATCAACGTCGTGCCCCATTCGCAAATCGCTGCCGCCCACCATCCACCAGAAAAGAAAAAAAAAAAAGATATCAGCCTGTCGCCCTCCTCGCATCCCTAGATTAACCACAATTCTCCATATATGGCTCCGCACACCTCTTGCACTTTGCACTTGAGAATAGAATATGGCCGAGTATTCATTTCATTGATATCATGAGTAGGGGGGTGGATCGAGTAGTCTAAGGGCTTGGGGGTGGAAATGGTTTGGGAATTTGAGCGATTGGGGATTGGGAATTGGGACTTGGGAATTGGCGTCGTACGTAGTCGCCGAAACGTTTTGAGCCATGCTGGATCCCCGGGAGTTTGCCGACGGAGATGGCGGCGTTACCGCGTGGAGGCCGGAGTGGTTGATTGTGGGGAGGGAGGTTGCTGGTTGGTAGAGTTAGGGCATTGTAGTGATTGTTATACAACGGGACTCTTATTACTGGTTGTGACAATATCTATTAGCATTGTGTTGGATAACAAGAACAACTATAAAATCAATAAGGTTATGGATGAATAAGATAAGATGCACTGAATGGCGTCACGACTGATTGGTGAAGCCGGTCACTGTGATGTCATCCCCCCATCCAGCCATCGACCTATCGCAGCCTCCCGTTATCAATCTTTCCCTGCAGAGACCACAATTGAGGAAAATTGGTTCAACTTGGAAGCAAGCAAGTTGACCTTGATTGAGTCGAGTATCTTCTTGACTGGCTGGTATGGTCTCCGGCTTTTTCTGCACTGGAGACCCATCACCCTAGCCTACGGCGCGTAATCGCCGGATGCAATCTGGGGAACGAAGATCAAGGAACTTAGAACACGAATGGTCCATCGAATCAAACCGTAGAACGATCAGATCCCCTCCGTATGCTTCTGGCCAACCTGACCTTGTTCTGTGGAGATCTTCGCAGCCTACCCACTACCTCTCTCGTGTCCGGGTAATGTATCCCAGCAATCAGCGACAAGAACGCAGTTCTGTTACACCTGTCATGTTTGTGTCATGCTTCTCGGCGTACAAACAGCGTCTCGAAGCTGGTTCTACCGTTAGGTCATCGTGATGAGATTCAGTATAGCCCAAACTTATATGCACTCCATGCCGACCACCCGGAGAACCGCTCATGCAACAGACTCCCAATTCACTGCATTGCTCCGGCCATGCTTCAAGCTCTGAACCTCTACAGCGTCACATGCCATAGAGCAATTCGACACAGCACCTTCAGACGTGTCAACTACCAGCTGCTCTTCGCCGTCTCTCGATACTCGTCCACTACCACCTCGCCCTCCCGCAAGCTGGCCACCATGGCGGAACACTCCCATCAGTTCATGAACACCTCCGGCGAGACGGACCCGGTCTGGGTCCGCCACATGCCCTACTCCAAGTACCCGCACTTCCCTGCCCTGGATGAGAACGTTGAAACCGACGTCTGCGTCGTCGGGGCCGGCATCGCCGGTATCTCCATCGCGTACGAGCTGGTCAACCGCGGCAAGCGGGTTACCATGATCGAGGCCCGCAATGTCCTCTCCGGAGAAAGCGGCCGCACTAGCGGCCACCTGTCCAACGCGCTCGACGACGGGTACACCGAGATCCAGAAGAAGCACGGGTCCCAGGGCGCGCGGGCCGCGGCCGAGAGCCACACCTGGGCCATCCAGCGCGTCGGGGAGATCTCCAAGTCCCTGGGCATCGACTGCGAATACCGCACGCTGCCGGCCTACGAGATCTCGCAGTACCCGCGCGGCGACTCCAAGCACGACCAGGAGATCGCGGAGCTGAAGGAGGAGGTCGATCTGGCCCAGCAGCTGGGCCTCCCGGCCTCGTACCACGAGGGACTCGCCGTGAAGGGCTGGGACGGCGCGATCGACCAGCGCGACGCGGCCGTCTTCGCCGACCAGGCCACCTTCCACCCAACCAAGTACTTTGTCGGCGTGCTGGAATGGCTGCGCCAGCAGCCCAACTTCCAGTGTTTCACGCATACCCGCATGATGTCCGTCGAGGAGAAGGATCTCGTCCAGGTGAAGACGTTCAACGGCTACACGATCACCGCCAACGACGTCGTCCAGGCCACGTGCGTCCCCCTGCAGAAGCTGAGCGTCATCGCCGAGATGGAGTACATGCGCACGTACTGCATTGCCATCCGCGTGCCGAAGGGGTCAATCGAGGACTGTCTTCTGTATGACGAGGCGGAGGCGTACAAGTACATCCGCTTCACGGAGTGTGATGCGAAAGATGACTATCTGGTGGTCGGGGGTTGCGATCACAAGGTCGGCCAGGAGGAGACGGGAGGCCGGTTTGAGGAGCTCGAGACTTGGGTGCGCGAGCGATTCACCCAGGCCGGGTCGGTCGATTACCGGTGGAGCGGGCAGATTTTCGAGCCCGTCGACTATATGGCGTTCATCGGCCGCAACCAGGGCCAGCACCATATCTATATTGTGACGGGCGATAGCGGGAACGGACTCACTCACGGTGTGCTAGCAGGCAAGCTGATCGCGGACGAGATCACGGGCACTGAGAACGCCTGGGCTCAGTTGTACAACCCCAACCGACTGAAGAGCATCGCGAAGTCGATGCCTAGCATGATAAAGCATGATCTGCAGATCAATGCCCAGTATAAGCGGTGGATGCAGTCCGATATCAAGGACATCGAAGATCTCGCGCCTTGTTCGGGCGGCGTGATGAAGGAGAACCCGGCCAAGCCGATCGCCGTGTACAAGGATGATCAGGGCAAGGCGCATAAGTACAGTGCTATCTGTCCTCACATGAAGGCCGTGCTGAGTTGGAACGATACGGAGAAGAGTTGGGATTGCCCGGTGCACGGCAGTCGGTTTAGCTGCGACGGAGTGTGTATTGAGGGACCATCCAAGGCCAACCTGACGCCCATGGATGAGTTTGCGAAACGTGAGCAGCGTGCTCAAGAGGCGTTGTAAACGATAGCTGAATTTTCTTTTCTTCTTTTTGTGTCTTCGTCCATAAGAAGTATGTAATGATTTAAATCTAGTACCATGGATTCTAACAAGAGATGTGCGTTGTCCGAGGAATAGAAATAACCATGAACGGGTAAAGATACGAAAACGAAGTGCGACCGGGGATAAGCTTATTGAACCTGTCGCTCCTTTCCTAATCGGGAGTACGCAACGAGATACGAAGCATCATTTTTTCCCGTTAGATTCTTCGACACATTGCCACGAGGATCAGATCCCCAGCCATCATTTACGCTGCATTTGAGGCAAAATGAGGTCCACTGCTGCCTTAATTATGGATCCGGTCCATGGCCGGCGATTTCTGGTACGGCGACAGCCTTTAAGATAAAAGCAGAGCGCAATCCTCCGTCTTGTCTTCTTTCTCTCTTGCAATCCAGTCGCCATTGAATCTCTTCTGCCAATACTTCTTTTGCTGGCCAACCAACACAATGGCGATGGAATTCACATTTTACTATTACGCGCCGTCCACCGCAGCCGCGGCCATCTTCGTGGTCCTGTTTGGCCTCAGCACCCTCCTGCACTTCTACCAGCTGAGTCGGACCCGGTCATGGTTCATGATCCCTTTCTTCATCGGAGGCATCCGTACGTCAAGCATGCCATCCTTTGCCCAGATCCAGACAAGCTAACAGTGCGGGCCAACAGTCGAGACCATCGGATACGTGGGTCGCCTGCTGTCCGCGCGTCAGAGCCCCGATTTCACCCAAGGGCCCTACATCATCCAGAGCGCCCTGATCCTCATTGCGCCCGCCTTCCTCGCCGCGAGCATCTACATGACCCTCGGCCGTATCATCCGCATGGTTCACGCGGAGCAACACGCGGTCATCCGCCTGAGCTGGATGACCAAGATCTTCGTGACGGGCGATGTGCTTTCCTTCTTGATGCAGGCTTCCGGTGCGTTGCAGCCACAACCCAACCCTCACTCTGCTACAGCTTGCTGATCAATAAACAGGCGCCGGACTGATGGTCAGCAACTCCAACGACCCCTCCACCGGAGAACATGTCATCATCGGCGGTCTCTTCGTCCAAATCATCTTCTTCGGCTTCTTCATCATCACGGCTATCATCTTCGAGTCGCGCATGCGGAAGAACCCGACCAGCACAGCCATGGAGCTGTCCGGCGTGTGGCGCCGGCACATGGTCGCCCTCTATGTTTCGAGTGTTCTGATCTTCGTCCGTTCCATCGTCAGGGTGGTGGAGTACCTGCAAGGGTATGACGGGTACCTCATGAAGCACGAGGCGTTCATCTATGTCTTCGACGCGCTCCTGATGTTCGGGGCAATGGTCGTGCTGCAGTACTACCATCCCAGTCAGATCAACTGCTTTCTCGGAATGGGGGACAAGTACTCGGAGAAGGCCTTCAAGACGCGCAAATTCGTGCCACTTGCGACGGAGATGGAAGTGTCGTCTGATGTTTGAGGGAGCGTGTTCCGCGAGAAATTTTATGGTTTTTGTTCATGAAGCGATGATTGTTTCGCATGTTTGTCTGCCACTGATGCATATGCCTGTATATACTTAGTTTGTGATGTCTCCTCCGACATTGTCTGCAACCAACTTGGTCAACATCCACTTATCATCAAGTCGAGAATAGAGCCATGTTATCATTCTTATACGCAGCCGTGCAGCTTGCATTCACCATCACCCATCCATCGATTTCCTGCTTCCCGGCATGCATGCAGTGCCGCTGTGATCGACGTGCTGTTATCCGCATTTAGGCTGAAACTGGCGTACCTACAGTCGCTCTTAGTAGTGCGATCCAACCAATCCATTCGTATTGGGCGTCACCCTCCGTCTGCGAACCTGTCGATAGGCCAATAAAGATACCTCTCGTGATTCCATCTGCAACAGCCTGCAGCTGCGCGATACCAAGACCCAATGATGTGGTTCAGCACAAGCAAATGCCGTCATACTGGGACCGAAGTACATATATCTTCAAGCCAGCCCACCTCACTTCCTCCAACACTTACAAACCTTAACTACCAGCACAATGCCAGAAACCAACCCCCGGGACATCCTCCCGAACCTCCCCTGCACCCTCCCAGAAACAGGCATCCCAGCAGACACCAACATCCGCAAGATCGCGGGCTTCTCCGACCTCTTTCGCACCGACCTCACGCCCGCTTCCTTCACCCAAGACGCAGTATGGCGGGACACCTTCGCGCTGACCGGCACCTTACGAACCTTCTACTCCGCCCCCACCATCTGCGACGTCTTCAACCGCCTCCGCGCCAGCCGAGAAGCCCATGCCTTTCGTGTCACCATCGACGCCGCGAAGCCCGTCTGCCTGAGCGCCGAATGCGGCTGGATCGACGTGCCCTTCGTCTTTCAGACCCGATCATGCCCGGTGACCGATTGCTCCGGGGTGGTGTCGCTGGTCCGGGCCGCGGACGAGGAGTATCGGGTGTGGATGCTGTGCACGATGCTTGAGGGACTGCACGGGCGCGCGAATGTGGATTCTCTGTGTCCCGGGGTGCAGAGCATCCATGAGATTCGCTGCACCGAGAATATGGACGTTGAATGTCTGGTCGTCGGGGCGGGACACTCGGGGCTGGGAACGGCGGGCCGGTTGAAGGCGCTGGGGGTTTCGTGTATTGTGATTGAGAGGAATGCGCGGGTTGGGGATAATTGGCGGAGGAGGTATGATTCGCTGAGGTGTAGGTCTTTCTTTCAATAAGTACGGCACTTAGTGCTTGTTGGGACTGGTGTTTGACGACGGAGCTAAACTCGGAGGCAACAGTACACACCATTCGCAATTGGTCTCATCTCCCCTTTGAGCGCACCTTTCCCCCTTCGTGTGGGGAGTGGTTGACCAAGGATCAGCTGGCGGAAGGACTGGAGTCCTGGTCGCAGCGGTTTGGGATTGTTCGTCGGGCCCCGGCTACCTTGCGCTGCGTACTGGGGAAACAACCACTGACGGAATCTAGAATGTCTGGACGACGACCGAACTGGAATCCGGAATTTGGGACGAGATGAAGAGGAAGTGGACGCTGAGACTTCAACAGTATGGAGATGATCAGCGGCCGAGTCGTCGTCTGTCAGTCACTTGCTCTCATGTCGTGCTTGCGACTGGCGGACCGGCGTTGACACCTCGCAAGCCTCGATTTCTGGGCGAGGTGCGTCTGCCTGTCTTCGTCATGAACTTTATCTCTCTGCTGATGAACTCTGATAGGATATTTTCAAAGGTGAGATCCTGCACTCGGCGAATTACAAGAACGGGCAGAAATGGAAAGGTAAACGGGGCGTGGTGATCGGCTCAGCCAATACAGGTAAGTCAGACTGTCCACTGTCAGCCTCTCTCTTGAGACTTGCAGTTGAATGCGGATAAAATTTAGGCCACGACATGGCGAAAGATCTGGTCGCATCGGGGGCTTCAAGTGTCACCATGGTGCAGCGCAGTACAACTTGTAAGTTGTCCCGATAAGCTCCTTGAGTATGAGATGAATTCTATGCTTATGAGCCGTGATAACACGAAGATGTTCTGCCTCGGGAATACTTGCAGCGAGCATGGGAAGGTAGGCTATGTCTGGTGCCGTCTTCATCAGTTTTGTCTGAGAGTGTTGCTCTGATGGCACGCCAGGCATGTTCAACGATGCGACGCCTACTGAAGTCTCCGACCGCGAGATGAACCTCGTCCCGACGGCTGTGGCGCGTCTGATAACCATGGCAGCCGTGCATCCCCAGGCGGCGGCCGAGCCAGAGCGATTCCAGGATCTTGTTCGCGCTGGGTTCCGAGTAGAAGTGTTTGGAGATCTGATTTATCAGTTGAATCAGCGCCTTGGTGGGCATTCTATGGATACAGGGTCATCGGCAATGATCGCCAGGGGCGAGGTAGGGATCATGTCAGAGGTAGAATCAAGAGCGAGAAAAGTGCGCTAACTAGGTTTCAAATAGATCAAAGTCAAGTCCGACAGCCCGATAGTCTCGTACACAGAAGAGGGCCTTCTTTTCGAAGACGGGAGTGTTCTTCCGGCGGATGTTGTGATCTTCGCGACGGGGTTCACAGGGAACCTCCGTGACTCGGTCCGCACCTTCTTCGGCGAAGACGTCTACGATCGCGTGGAGGACTATTGGGGTATTGACCCGGAGGCTGAGTTGAAGGGCGTTTACGTCCCAATGGGCCGTAAGTGTAGTCTGTTCTGCTTCTTTGCATGATACGTTATGACGATTGTTGAGATTTGACGTGAAATTCATGCCAGATCCCGGTCTATGGTATATGGGAGGAGGGATGGGCCAAGCTAGATTCTATTCGAGATTTGTGGCCTTGCAGATCCGTGCCAGCCTCGATGGAACTCCACTGCCTGTGTACCGAGGAATACACCTAAAGGAAAACTCGGCATCGTCGGCAAATTCTCATCTCTCATAATCCATTGCGGGACCCCTAGGGTAGAAGCTCCCCATTGCAGCCGCTCGAGAAGGTAGATTGAATGATGTCCCGGCTGCCCTAGCATTGTCATATGTAGCAATGTGCTACTTGCACTCAATTCTGATTTGATTCTCATGTGAACTGCCATCGCCATGCCTTTCAAAAAGCCGGCAGCGGTCCTGAGATCATGACTTGTCCCGCCTTCCTCCATTCAAGCTTCTCAGCCAGCATATCCCAGCTCAGTGGACCGTCAAATCGTCCTATGCCTTTCAGGCGAGCCGCCACAGACGCAACTAGCTGTTCGAACTGGTCTTTTATATCTTTGATTTGTTGTAAATATTTCGACTCATGAAAGGAGTCAGCGGATTCATTGTCGTTGGTATCGGAGTCGTCGTCATCCTCGTCACTCAAGTCATCATCGACATCATCAGTATGATTGCGGGGCTTGCGGTCCAGAACTGGATCATTGCGAGTGTCTGCATTCCTCAGAGTCCTCCGGAATTGAGACTGGTCGCTTCCGTAGCGCGTGGCCTGGACCTCTGAAAAACGGACACAAAGATCGAGAATGACGACAATGGCTTGATGAATAGCTTCAAGATTGTCCGACAGCAGGCATTGTTCTTTCAGAGACATCATGAATCTATGGTGGGCCTCGACCATGCCATCAATGTCACTGGCGGCAGACAAGGCCTTGCGTAGCGACGCGGTCGCTGTTGAAATGACGAAGTCTGTCATGTGACTGTAGATGGCGTTAAGAAACCAGAGCATGTTGTGTCGCAGCGCATAGCTTAGCGTGTTGTTCCTCGTATCTTGTATCTTGTCATAGATATTGCTATGCTGCAAGCGCTGCTTAACAAGTGCATGCTTCGCTCTGCGTATCTGCATCAAAAATCTGGAAATCCGCTGGTACTCATAGATCGCGGATTTCGGGATGATGTTCGCAACAGGCCATGGTAGAATGTAATCAAATGAGATTGCGTTAAGCATGTTCATCGATCGGCTGCTGTCCTTCTCGCCGTTTAGTCCATCCGTCGAAGATCGTACGATGATTCGTGACGGGTCAATAAAGGGCATCGAACCAAGAATACTCTGCGCCAATTCTGTAAGGAGATATCGGTCGCTCCATGCCGCTTTCCCTCTATCGATCAGGTCGAATATTTTACTGTCGATTATGCCAGACATGCTCATGTCTCGGCAAAGGTAGACGTACTCCAGAGCCTGAAGCGACTCCCACAACCCGCACTGTTGGTCAAATTTGCTTCTCAGTAACGCAGATGTAGCAGTGTAATTTTCTTCCACCATCTTCTGTAGGGCAGATTCGAGCAAAACAGAAAAAGGAAGGTAAGATGAAGGGGATTCTGGTGGGCACACGTCCTCTATTGTCACGGATGTTTTTCTGCAATCTTCATCACCCGGACTCATGTTCAGGTGTCGCAGGAATACCATGCTCTTGCCAGCAATCAGAACTTTCTGCATGATAGGTTGGATAAATTGAGGCACAGAGGAGAAGTTCGAGGGCGCATCGAGGGTATACCAGTCATGCCAGAGGGTTCGCAGATCACCATTCTTCTGCTGGTGGTGGACGAAAAATCCATCATTGGCTGCGTCTTCTAGTTTGCCAGTTTCTAGCCAGAGACGGATAGGTCGGGCATATGTTTCCAAGCAAGAAAAGAACAGATCAGCAAGAACCGCGAACCCCTCATCGTCACCTGTCGCTTGGGTCAAGCAGACTACATCGTACAGACGGTCGAGACATTGAACGGAAGCATTCACTGACGTTGTCTCAAGCTTCGAGACTAGGTCTGACAGTATCAGGAGTAGCCTAGTCTCACGGCACACATCTTCAGAGAGCTGCAGCAGACTAACAGAGGCGGTTGACGTTGGAGAAAGGTATTGATGTTGTGATTTTGAAAGAAACATGTCATGATTACTCAAACAGCCTTCCAGTCCCCGCTGGAAGGTTTGCATATAAGGGGTAGTTTGTGGCATCCTGATGAACAGTCTGAGAATGTCGACTTGAGTTCCGACTGAACTTAGGGATCGTAGAACCGAAGAGAGAGTTTCAGTCGATAAATGCGCAATAGTGTAGTTCTGATCTACTTCAACAATGCCATTAGATCGTCTAAACATAGACGTAGGCAGGCCTTGCAGCATGAAGATTGTTTCCCGGATAACCTCAAGTTCCGTCAGGGCGCAAGAAGATACTACTTCGTGATCCCCATCGGACTGGGTGTCTCTTGTCCAGAATTGTGCCTGCTTGATCGACTTTACCAGTTCTTCGTCATCACCAGATGTTAGTTCAGCATCTGGAATCACATAATCTTCTTCTGGAGCTATAGAAGTCTGAGGTCGCCGCGAGCGGTAGGTGTCAGTTGACAGCGAAACAGATGCGATCTCCTCATCGGAAGAATCAGCTCCGTAGTCTACAGCTTCCCAAATATCCTCTTCGCAAAATGCTGACCCGGCTGCATCTAAGTCAGACCAAGTGAGCGGTGCGGCCTCCTCCTGAAGCTTCGGCTTTGGGATTCGGTCCAGTCGTGAAAACTGAGCCGGACGATCCGCAAGTTCCAGCAGCAGAGAAAGGAATTCCGGGGCCCAGGAGCTACGGTGCTCATTGAGCTCTAGCAGCCTGTCATGGAGCGCATCTGCAAGCTCGTCTTTGTTGAGGACTTGGAATTTCTCCTGCAGTCCATCCAGGTGGTTGGCAACCGCAAACTGATCTGTGCGGCCATGAGCACCAGCTTTGACTGTGTCCTCCGCGCGACGCTTGAGGGCAGCAAAGCGCGGTATGTCCTAAACAAGACATGTTAGCACCCACCCTTGAAGTAAAAGTGGGCTTGGACCAAATGCCTTTGCGTCGGCCTGTGCGACGGCCTCAATTAGCTTTTCTAGTAGAGCGCTCACGTTGGCCGTAGCAGCCATGGCGGGCACAACATAGATGAGCGAGCCTGAGCGCCTTATCTATGGATATCAGCACAGCCACTAAGGAAAAGACGAAAAGGAGCGCTCTCCATCGTCCTGTGGTTTCATCAAGGCCGTTGAGTTGGTTACGCGGCGCTGATGAAGTGGTGCAGGTCGGCGACCGAGCGGCAGAGATGATTGATCGGGATAGATCCATGCTAGGCCTATTAAGGAATAGCGGCTAGGTGTTGCGGAAACTGGAACGAGACCGTCTGGAAGGGAAGAGAGTCTCGCGGCGGGAGGCGGCGATAAGTTGATTAAGTAGCGACAAGTCTCCCCTGCGGCCTCAATTCTCACCTGTTGCTCACTTTCCCCTCCATTTCACCTTTCGTGGGGATTTTGCAGACCGGCACAATGGCTGTCGCAAGACCCATCCGGATGCTGGCTGCATCATGCATTATCCTCGTCCTCTTCCTCATCTTCCAAGTGAACAAAACACCCACCTTGATCAGTAAGGGGTCGTCGTCATCATCATCAACACCATACGAGGGTATCACCTCCGATCCTCTCAAAGATCGTACGTCTACGCAGTTCTAACACCTTCACTTCTTTCACCTTGTCTATCTCCTACTAACATGCCCTTCTCCCTTCCTCAATAGCGACTGGCGAGCCAGAGGGTAAATTGTGGCGTGTGACCGACGGCGACTATAGTCCCGGCAACTCGAAATCTCCCCGTACCAACGCGGCCCTCATCTCTCTTGTCCGAAATGAAGAACTCCACGAATTGATCCCGACCATTCGAGATCTTGAACGCACCTGGAATAGCAAATTCAACTATCCCTGGATCTTCTTCAATGACCAGCCCTTCACCGAAGAATTCAAGAAGCTGACGCAGGCGGAAACGAAGGCAAAATGCTACTACGGTATGTCCCGCTGATCGACCTAGGCATTGTACCACAAGTCTCTGACGTCGACATAAAGAGCAAGTGCCGAAGGAACACTGGGAGGTCCCTGAGTGGATTGATATGGACCTATTCCGCGAGTCCGCCGAAGTGTTGAAGGAGAAGGGAATTCAGTACAGTGACAAGATCTCGTATCACCAGATGTGCCGCTGGAACAGCGGCTTGTTCTACCAACACCCCGCCCTCCAGAAGTATCGGTACTACTGGCGTGTTGAACCCAAGGTCAAGTTCTTCTGCGATGTTGACTACGACGTCTTCCGCTACATGGAGGATCGGAACCTCACCTACGGCTTCACGATCAACCTTTTCGATGCTCCCGAGAGTATCCCATCGCTCTGGCCCGAAACCAAGAAGTTCCTCGCTGCGAACCCGACCTACCTGAACAAGAACAATATGATGAACTGGCTCACCGATGATCAGCTCCGACCCGAGCACACGGAGGCTGCCAATGGATACTCGACCTGCCACTTCTGGTCTAACTTCGAAATCGGCGATATGGAGTTCTTCAGAGGCGAGCAGTACTCTGCCTACTTTGAGCACCTGGACCGGGCGGGTGGCTTCTACTACGAGCGCTGGGGTGATGCTCCGGTGCATTCTATCGGTCTGGGTCTCTTCGCCGATAAGAATAAGGTCCATTGGTGAGTCGATGGCCTCGCATTGTGTCCACCGCATCCATGATATATCCTCTAACTCACAATGCTTAGGTTCCGAGACATCGGTTACAACCATATCCCCTATTACAACTGCCCCACCTCCCCCAAGTGTTCTGGCTGCACCCCGGCCAAGTTCTACGCCGGTGAGCCCTGGCTAGCCAAGGAGGATTGCCGACCCAGCTATTTCCAGCATGTCGGAACCCACTAGAAGATACGGCACGACATGATACGACTTCGTTTACACTTGATTATCTGGTGCAAACGGCAGCTGCCCCTCTATCTCAATATATACGAGCGTTCCACATGAGGTGCATGGAGATAAGAGACAGGTATCTCTGGTCCTACCACATATAACACTTCGTTTACACACTCAATCAAGGGTGTCTGTTCTTTGCACCAGGTATTCTATGCCGTCCGAGCATTGCGATCAATTATATGTACAGGATTTTAGTGCGCACGGTTGCCACAGCTTACATGTTCTACCACCATTACATACCCAGTCTTGTTGACGAAGAAATTGCTTAAAATTCATCCTGAACTTTAGGGGCGTTACCTAGGGATTTGTTTCTCTTCATTGCTGCTTCTCGGGGTTGGTTGTATCCGGTGTGTCATGCCTATCTTTTAGGCATCTCCGGACTGGCATTTACTGTACCTATTAACATTATTTTTCAATGTCCCATGCCATTGATGATGCTCTGGAAGCGGAAGCTTTCAAACTGTATGAATTGCCCGGTCGCTACGCTTGTATTCTCTTGTAGAAGCCCACCATGAAATCAAGGGATAAATGACTTGCGGACTTACCAGGTTCCTATCCATGAAGGCTGCCCACAATCGCATTGCATAGAGCAATAACAGTAGAACAAAAACATCGTCTTCGATTTTCACACTTTACCCCCTCAACAAAACAGAGTAACAAGCAAATGCTCAGAAAGCAGCACTGGTATAGAAAAGCACGCGTGTACCCTCCAATCCACCCCCATTCCCCACGACAGCCAGGAAGCCGGAACGCAGCCATGTGAGGTCCGTTTTCTTTTCTTCGTTTATAGAGAAGATACACACACGCCACACCACACCGGGACATTTCAGCGACTTCATTCCAACTGCACTTCTAGAGTATGTATACAGCGTTCCTTATCTTTAACTGACTGACAACATGAAAAAAAAGATAAAACGACGAGACGTGTTAATTCCGGACACAGAGGGTTTAGGTTTCTGCGTTTACTGCTCCTCGGGGTAGAGCTCCTCACGGAGAGGAACACCCAGCTCCAGGCGGAGCGACTCAAGAGCCTCGAGGTATTGCTTGTACTGTTCCTTGGTCTCGGCCTTGGCCTTGATGCCTATTTTGGACGCCAAACGAAAGAGATTAGTATCTTCTTGGGGAATGTGCGGACAGTAGGTATAGGTAGGGTCAATTGGGAGGATTGGAAAGGTTATCGCACCCTCGAAGACACGGACGGCAGTGGGGAAGTCGTTGACACGACGGGCAGCCTTGAGAGCGGCGGTGAGGACCTCAACGGAGGGGACGAGATCGTAGGCGAAACAGTTGTTCAGGTTGCGCTGTGTTTGAAAGAATTGATAATGTTAGCCCGGGCTCATATAGGTTCGAGCGAGAAGCGCCTAGCAATCCGCCCAATGGCAGCTGGGCTGATTATCAAGGCTGGGGATGCGAGTGGATGACGCGAGCAGGGGAGGCATCGGCTTACCTGGAGCTCGAAGACATCCTGGACACCGTCGAATTCCTTCTCGAATCTATCGACAGGGTGGGTTAGAGGTGAGGTTGTTGACGGGTTTGAAGTAGAGAGCGAGGTAATGCCCATAGTCAAGGCATCAGAAGGGGCCGGGCTTCTCGGGTTCGACTGCACGTTGCGACCGAGTCCGGACCAACGGGCTTGCATCTGTCTCCAATGGCTCGGCAAATTATGATTGCATACCTGTCAGAGAACTCCTCGAAGGTCTCGTCCTCGTGGTGGCCAGAGTAGCGCTGAGCGGAGGTGCTGAAGCTGGGGCGGCTGATAGCCTGGGCGATGGGGAATTGCACGCGGGCCCGGGGCAATTGAGCGGCTCTGATGAAGCCGGAGGGACGGACGGCGCGGGTTGCGACACGGAAGACGGAGATTGGCGACATGGTGGGAGGAAGGTGGTGGTGGAGGTGGGCGAATTGGGGGTGAGTGAGGGGAGAGCAAGACGGGCGAGGTGTTGACGAAGTCGAAGTCAGAGGTTAAGCCGGGCTGCACTAGGATTTTGCGGGTGGTGTGAGGTTGTTGATGCCTCAGGCATTTAGCGTATCCGCCCTGCAGTGGTCGTCCGTCATTGATAATCGCCCGCTTTTCCTTCGCGACTCCCGCCCAACCCGAGGTTTGCCGATGCCTCAGGCCACTACTACGGGTATGCTGTCACTCGCCCAAAGCCCGAGTTCTGCTTTCTATCTGCCAGCTGTGATTGGAGCATAGGCGGTACGCAGCTTATAGCTTTCAATTGGCTCATATTTGGCCCAGATCCCGTGGGCGGCATCGAGATCCGCACCCTTGCCCCGGAGATTACCAGTACCACCTCAGGCAGAGATTGTGCAAGCCTGATCTGAGACTGGCAACAACCGGTAGTGATAGCTTGCGGCCAGTCCAGTTCAGTTTTCCACGTCCTTTCCATGGAATCCCCTGCCTACTGCCGCTGGGAAACTGACAATTATGATCGACGGTCGGTCGTCTCAATTTCTAGTCCAGGTCTAGGCCGCTCATTGAGTCTTTAAATCCTCGTCCTTCGAAACCGTGTCTTTCTAATATATATCCACCGGGGTGATTTCCATCAACTGAGCTCTCACGAATCACCTGTCAAAGTACCCCGCGCAGCAATGTGTTCGAGAAGCAAATCGTAGAATTTTGATCGGTGATCGGAAACATTCCCCACGAATCTTGTTGACTAATATTTGGGCTCTGGCACTGACCAGCAACATGTTTCATGAGTAAACAGTGAGTGATCAATTACCAGCTCGTTGAGTTCTGAATCAGAGGTATACAGCAACATAGAACCCTTGGCATAATCCTGGCAAACTTGCATGGAGATTATGTTTCAAGAGGCTACCAGGATCTCTTGATTTAGAACTCGTATCAATTGAGACATTGGCAATGGTAGGATAGTACCCAGTAGTCTAATCATAATTTACCACCTCAGTTGGTATAGTGATTGACACCATTTCAATGGTCAGTCAGCAGGACATGTGAAGATCCATGATGGCCCGGGGTTGGGTTAGTGGCCGCTTCCCTATGTAAGTAGTTATGACTACCAATTACATCTTGTGAATTAGGTAGGTGACTTTGGTGACCTTGACGTGACATAATATCGGAGGAAGTGACTCTCAAAAGTTATTCTCAGTACTAGGTAGCTCTCCAACCTCTTCACAAAACGAAGTTATCTCTTGCTACCTCCAACAAGGCCTGCCAGCCGCAAACAGCGCAACAAGGGCACCAAAATCAGGACCAGCTGGCGAACCGGGAACCCGGAAGGCACATGATCGTCGGGCCCTAAGCGGGCGCCCCCTTTTTTTCCCAGTGGCCGAGGTTGCGCTAGTCTCTTTTCAGCCGCAGCGGACGCGCCGGAGTCCAAAAAAGAAGACACGCTGAAGGATGGATGGATTCTCCTCCTTGCGAACAGGCAGTCAAAAGAGATACCAAGTCCTCCTGCTGCTCCACTTTGTCCGTTCTCTCTTCATTTCTCTTCTTCCGTATTCTTCTTCCTTGACTTTCCCTCTTTCTTATTCTCTGAATCACCGCATTTTCTCTTAACTCCCCCCTCCTCTCATTCTCTTCCCTTTTTCTTACCCCATTCTCTGCTCGCACCTCCAACCGGCCTGTCAGCAGTTTTGGGAGAGGAAGAAGAAGAAGAAGAAGAAGAAATTCGAGGTCTTTCGCTCTCCGGGACCTTCATTCAATTCGTCCACACCCTCAAGTGATTAGGATCTTGGTCAATCGCTCACCATGGCCGCCGAACTTCTTCAAAGCCTGCCCAGGCCAACCATTGACCGGCCGTTTGGCATCCACCTATGGCCTATCTTCGACAAGGCCTTCGAGCTTGTTGTGGGATATCCCGCCAGCGAGTTCCGCTTCGTTGAGGGCGTCACACCCATGTCTACCTTCAAGGAGACTGCTGTGATGCTTGTGGCTTACTATGTTATCATTTTTGGTGGTCGCGCGTTCATGAAGGACCGTCCTGCTTTCAAGCTCAACGCGCTGTTCATGATCCACAACTTCTACCTGACTGCGATCAGCGCAACACTCTTGGCCTTGTTTATCGAACAACTTCTTCCTACCATCTGGAGACACGGCATTTTCTACACTATCTGCACGCACGAGGGTGGACTTACACAGCCTCTGGTCGTTCTGTACTACGTGAGTTTCGCAACAGTTTCACATCCGGTGGTCGAAACTAACCCGCTCATTCGCGCTTAGCTTAACTACCTGACCAAGTACCTTGAGCTTCTCGACACTGTCTTCCTCTTCCTCAAGAAGAAGCCGTTGACCTTCCTTCACACTTACCACCACGGTGCCACCGCTCTTCTCTGCTACACCCAGCTCATTGGCTTGACCGCTGTCCAGTGGGTGGTCATTGACATCAACCTCTTGGTTCACGTTGTTATGTACTGGTACTACTTCCAGAGCGCTCGTGGTATCCGTATCTGGTGGAAGGAGTGGATTACCCGCCTCCAGATTATTCAGTTCGTCATCGATCTTGGTAAGTCGCTGTCTCGTAACCGATTTCCTAAAACTCAACTGACCCTCGTTTAGGATTTATCTACTTCGCCTCCTACACCTATTTCTCCTCGACCTACTTCCCCTGGGCTCCCAACATGGGCAAGTGCGCCGGAGAGGAATTCGCCGCTTTCTCCGGAATCGCCGTCATCACTTCTTACCTGTTCTTGTTCATCTCTTTCTACGTCGCTACCTACAACAAGGCTGCCAAGACTGGCCGTCCTCGTCGCAACACCGGCAGACAGGCTGTTATCGACATGGCCAAGTTCGAGGTCTCTGCTCCTTCCACTCCCAACGGACAGGCCAAGACGAACGGTGCCGCTGTGTCCACCGGACGCTCCAACGGCCCTGTTACCCGCTCCCGCAAGGCCTAAGTGCACGAGTGGTGAGACAGTCTTAGGGGCACATATCTTCACTTCTTCGATGACCCGCTTAGCAAATCGGCTTCGAAGCGCAGATTCGTTCTCCCTTCGCTTTCACAGGCAACCTTCGCGCATCGCCCATTTTTCGGCCGAGCATGAGCGAGCCAACAACCAACCATTTCTGAAGCCGGGTCCCATACTCGGTCGCCAACACTTACAACTATTTAATGAATGACCTTGATGATAATGGTCGTCTTTGCTTTTCGACCAGCTTATGCATGCGGCTTTGCCGCTTTGCAAAGGTGGTGCAGAGCTAATTCAAAGATATGTTCGCTTGGGAAAAGGCTTTTTACCCTTCTTCTTCTTCTTCTTGGAATCAGCCGAGCAAAGACCACGACTTGGCTATTTCAGCTTGTATTCTACATGCTTTATTTTGCTTCGTCCCGTCGCCTTTGCTCCGCTGGCTGCGGAGTCTCGACATATGCCTTTTTTGAATCGTCTATAAACGGGAGGTCAACATAAATGTAATCATGGTTACGTGTTTTTCTTGTCATTGCCCTTTACCTGTATATAATTTGAATACCTTTCGGACTTCACTAATTTTGAAATGTGCAATTGGTTTTCATAAACTTTTGTTCTGTTTACCTTGCTGATTTTGGGCTTTTTGTCCGGGAATCCAATTGTGTACCTCTTGAGGTCTGAAATGTGAGGAGTATCAGCATGGAGCCTGTGGTTGCTGGTACTATCCAGAGCGAACTGTCTGGTACACGATGATTTTCTGGGGTTGAACAAAATACGCAACGAGTCCCGGCGTCAGGCCGAGGGGAGATAATGCTAGGGATTTACAGTCAGCAACATCCGTCCACTTTGCTGCCTGCCGTGCTACAGTGCACCTGAGTTGTCGAGCTGCTGCCCCAAAGAGACCAAGTCTTTTCATTGCTTTTGTAGTCACAATCGACGTGTGCGCAAGCATACGAGTTACTCCGAGCCGGGGAATCACAACTGACGCAGACAGTGAGGCAGACGATGAAAAGACCGAAAGTCTCTAGGCTCACACTACAATAAAGACGACTCCGGGAATTTTGAGCCTGGAAAGAAGTACTTGCTTTGCAGTGATCGACGGAGAGCCTGTAGGCTTGATGCTTCAGATCCGAATTTAGCGGGCACTCTCAGAGACGAGGGTCGTTTTGGAGACCATGCACGTTGTTGTACTGTGCACGTTACAACCTGCCATGGCCGTGCGCTATCACCTCACGTACTAGTAGCATCGAAGACAATACCATGGTTCCTGGGGTCTTACTCCGGTTCCTTCCCCGCTATGAACGATGATCGCCCGCGCTGCCGATAGTTCATGCAACGTGACGGCAATCAAAGGGAAATCGTCGCTCAGCTTAGGTTCCAAATGTTCAGCTGCAATCTATGCCTTCATACCTAGCTGTTGTTGACATACGATGATTCCCCAGCGAGCTTTAGGGAATTATCTACCGATAAGCATTGTGGCGTACGCGTCCTGCCCGGTGGATTTATCTTTACTATGGCGCAATGCCGACGTTCATGGATTCATCCGAATCGTCCTGACCAACTTCCTTCGCAATGTCATCATAGCTTGTCGATCAACGAAAAACAAACATCCCAAGATCTCCATGGTCAGCGTTCTGTAAAGTACTCGAACCAAGCATGATGTTGGATCATGAACTCCCATTCCTCTTTCTCGGCATTTAGTGAGAGACATCTCAGGCGCAGATCCAAGCCCCTCCAAAGTGCTCCAGAAAGACATAAAAGGGCACCTGAATCCTCGAGTTGATTCTTCTCCAGAACACAGAAGCAACAGCTTGATTATCACTACTCCAACTCGTCGTCCCAGCTACATCTTGCAACTCCAGCACCGCCTCAGTCACTTCAGTCACAATGCGCTTCCTGTCTTGCGTCTCTGCTGCCCTCGTGGCCATCTTCGCGTCTGCCACCTATGCGGTCCCCATCAATGGTGGCGTCAACTGCACTCAGCTCGAACAACAGATCGCCACTCTCCAGCAGGGGGTGAGCACGGCCAACGGAACCAACCCGGAAGGAGTCCAGGCTGCTCAGCAGCTGCTGTACGGTGCGAGGCTCGTGCAGGCCACCGAGTGCACCAACTCTGCGCCGGCGAAGCGATTCTTCCCTGTGAGTATCTGATTTTTCGGTGATGTCTGATGGTCTGCTAACGATGATATACAGCCTGTAAGTAACGCGGAACGTGAAAGTGAGACGTGGTGATGCATGCTGACCCAAGGCGCTACTTGAAGCCTACTGGTCCGGTGAGTTGTGTCTACAATCTCTGCAATCCAGAAGGGAAATACTAACTTTCGCAGATTGTGAGTTGAGCTCTTGTCATAGCTATCTACTGACGTTTCTAAACATCGGACACCCAATCCTAACCAACTTACAGAATGTAAGTGCTTCATTCTTCTGAGTCAGTTTGGTTTGATATCGGATCGACTTGATGCTAAAGCCTACGTGAACCCAAAAGGGAACATCCTCACTACCTCCCATCCCCGGGTTTAACGGCACGGTCCCACTTCATTAAGCAAAGGTAAGTGTTTCCTCTTCAAGCGCTCAATTTGACTCTTGCTCACGGGACTTGATAGTCGGTAAGTTGAAGTATCCAACTCTGAAAGTCTCTACTACTGGAACTTCTGCCTCAGATCCGTGTTGCTGGTAAGTACCTACCCATCTGGAATCACATAATCAACCAATAACAGGAGGGCCAGATGTGATGAAGACCTCTCGATGAATGCCCTTCCCGAGGCCGGAGATCCCCTCGACGATGAAAGCTCCGACATTGGGTGAACTGAATGTGAAGTGCGGTGATATGGCCTTAGTATAGGTTTTTTTTTCCCTTTCGTGGTTTTCCTGTACTGTAAATGCGAATGCAGAGGCTTAGATTGATTAAGTTTTGTCGAGATTATGAACTATATATAAATTGCTTATCGTGGTTCATTGTTATGTCGTACCCTTGCCCCATCAATATAGGACTGCTGGGATCAGAGGCTTGACTCTGTGGTATCTCTCTGAAGGAAGTTCTCATCCCTGCGCCGCAAAAGAACAGACGTTGATATTGCATTTACCCCCCAGGGGAAGTAGTGCAGGTCAAGTATGTTCTACTCTACCGGCGTTGTCGCTATGAGCTTATCGCCAGCGTTCAACTTGCATATCAGAGCAGACGGCTGTGCAGCGTTTAAGCCTAGAACACGCGAAGACAGCATATTATTGCTTGCGCTATATCGGTGCACATGCCTCGATCTCGACGCACCCCAGCGGACGGACAGCTCGAGGAGCTCCCCTTCTTCTGGGCCCGTCCGTTCTCACCTTCCGGCACTTCCTATGGCTACGCTGGCATCGTCGCTCCCTCGCCGTCCCATAGGGGTCTACGAACATTGGGAAGATCCTGGTCTAATATTGCCGTCGCGGGGTGTGCCAGACAGCGTCGTCATGGCCGCAGACCGCGGAAGCTCCGGTGCATGTGGACGTCCATTTCGCGCAGCTCACTTTACGCCGGGCCATGCGCGCCCCGGCTCTGCCCGCTCTTTCCCCGTGCGGTGGTGCATCCAGCAGCGCAGCAGGCCTTTGCATTGCCGTTGCTACTGGGCAGTCGCGGGGTGGGTGTCATGTGATGCATGGCGGAGTATAAACCCCCCCCCTCGTTTGCCTTCTTCCCTGTACAATCCTCCGACGATGCGCCTGCCAGCCGGCGAGGGATGTCCCTCGCCTCGAGCAATCCCATCTCGAGCAGCCCTCTTCTTGAGCAGCTTCGGAGTGAAGCACATCGCGCAGTCATGGCGTGGTATCTACTTGCCCATTGTATCAGACTTTCAGCATGCGTTGGTATTCGGAGATGCGTACGTGTGGCGACGACGGCGATCGGATGTTCTCGTGTGGAATTGCTGGTCGTGGTTGTTTGGTAGGGTGCTACAACGCTCCTGGCTATAGTAGCGGTGTGGGTTGTTGATTCGAGGCGGGACGGTCGCGGACCTTTCCTCCTGCTACCTTGGTGGATGTATCATGTCAGTGGTATTCAAGACCAGGCATTGTTCTAGTGCTGTGACAATAACTAGGTGTCTGGTATCATCTTGAAGAACCTTAATGTGTCTGACCGAAGATGCTTCGTCGTTCCCAGTCTTCATGCAGTATGCTGTTTCCAATTTCTCGTGCTATGCTTCATCCACAAGAAGCATGTACAGTACAGAGAGCTCAAGCTGCGATGGGAAGAAGACAAAGATAAAACGGAAGGATGGCAAAGCCCTGCAGTCGCAGGAGCCGAAACCACAGAATTATATACTCTGTATCCTTCGGCAGATGCACCAGCAGCACGAGCCCGAAGATGATCAGGTTCCTTCAGCACCACACCCCACACCAAGCTTTACTTCGCATAATTACGAGTAGTCCAATTGAACCCACTTCGCCCAACAAACTATACGAGTATATCCCACTATCCCACCACCCACAATCACCAACAAAAGTTGAAACATCGGTCATCTCGCTTACCAACACCCTTCGCCCCAACAACTACCGCAGGGGAAGTTGACATTTCTACGTAGTGCCGTCTTCCATCAACTGCCGAACGCCTTCCCCCCCCTGAATCATGCACCCGTTCGTCTCCATCTCGATCCGAGAACAACCGCCGGGCCCTCCCACCTTCCCGTGGATCACCCCCCTCCCACCTCCCACATAGTCCCAAGTTCCCAACAAACATCATCGATCGCTGTGGCTGTCTTGCTGCCTACCTCGTAGTTTACCGAGAATCCCAATCCCACATTCCATCATGACTCGCGCATCTCGGTTCCAAGGGCTTCGGCTTGACTTACCGGGAACAACTCCTCACTACGAAATTCCAGACGGGATCCTAGATCGATCGCTTTCCCGCTCCAACCAATCACCAGATGCGTCGACCGGAATGTGGCTTGCCGCAACTCTAGTACCTTTCGAAGCTGAAGGTTCAAAGGCTTTTCAATAGTCTTTTTGACTAACAATAAGCGAAGGTTCAGCCCGTGTCCCTGAGATCTCGGTTAATTTGGTGAGCGGGCTAGAATGGTAAGGTATTATTGTTCCTACGCCGCAGTCATCTATCCGTGCGTTCACCTTGTCTCACTGAATGGAAACGAGCGATCGAAAAGGTTTTGCATACCGCGATGAAAGCAGTATCCCGTGCACGGTCAGCCTTTCTATTACAGAGCTTAGCTTATAGTAGCCGGCATATAAGTTAGGCGTCTCCAGCATGGGCAATTCTTCAGTCGGGAGTGCATACTGCATAGTGCAGTACTGCTCCGTACTGTACATAAATTAAATCCAAATCAACCCTAGATTAAACAATAGATAGATGAGCAGCACATCCAGCGTGCGACGATCATAATCTAAACGAATCACTCTATCTCGCACATCGAACGGGATCTCCGAAGGTCTTAGTTCTTTACCGGAAGCCCGGATTTGAGGACCACCACACACCAGCGGGAGAGAGTGTCTGCATCTTGTTCCTCCGTCCGACGACAACTCTACATTCTCCTATCCTAGATACCAACGATGACGCCCCCGAAAACACGATATCCAACCAAACTCCACCTTACGTCTCAAACCCAACCAGGCCCGATCGAAAGCAACCGATCCTAGCATTGGAATCCAGCCTGCACCTGCGTCTGCATATCGAAAATCCTCGAGCGAAGATTCCAAATATCACTATGCAGTGAGGTTGTACAATGCTGTACTGTACAAGCGGGGCTCAATCCACACGAACCCGTACCGTCCAATCTTGCTGCAGATACTGTAACAGAATGAAGGGTGACACGCCCAGGAAAAGACATCCGGATCCGCATGAGTGGGCTGTTGCCTGTCCGCTGAACCGGATCGAAGTCGGTCGAATTTCTTTTCCAAGCTTTCCAAGTTTTCTTGTCTCTTGTTCGAGTTGGTTGAACGCTCCTGGTGGCCGGCCTCTCCACTGAAGAAGTATCTAAGCCATGGTGAGCTGAGACTCGATCTTCCAACACCAATCAAGTCAGTCAGAAGGCGGCTCGTACCGCGGGAAGCTGTGAGATTGAATGTGGGAACATGTGGAGAGAGCAGGCAGATTCAGCTTCCCCCCTCCACTCAATTGCCGGGTGAACAGCTGCCGGGATCGCCGAGATGCATGTCCGCCATCCTTCCATCGATCGAACTTTCCATTGAACCTTGGATACGCAAGAGATCGGGTGTCATCGCTGCTGTCAATCCCGATGCCCGTCCCGCTGGGACGGAAAAGCTTTTACAACATGTTAACGCCTACGTCTACATTGTACGACAGCACCAGGGAAGATTGTATAACTCTGTCTCAGTTGATTCTGAGCTCCAATTGTGGCCCGCTCCAGGAAGGCCATCACATTCTGCCTGCCTATGAATACTTCGGTAATCAGAACAGAATAGGTAAAAAGAGACAGGCGAGGAGGGTTTGAGATAGTACAGTAAGATCGCAATATCACAAGCATCCAGTGCGACAAGTCAAGAGAGCAAGAGTGAAAAGAAAAAGAAATGCCGCCCCAGGCAGTTGAAGTACAGACCAAAAACAAACCCCATGGAATCAGACGCTAAACCGATGAAGAACGCCAAAGTAGAGACGTGACGCAACAACAAAAAAAAAAGCCTTTTCCCCAAAACGTAGAAAGAAGAAGTAAAGATGAAACACTAGACCGCGCAAATTTTTCCCGTGTTTGCTCCGCAGATTAAGCATTATTTCTGGATGGTAGACTTTCTCCTGCCTCGTAACATGAATCCCATGAAACCAGAACTCGAACTCTTGGCGGCTGGTTCCGCACTGTCGGCCTTAGCGCTTCGGCTGTACCGAAAACTCTTCTTCCGCCGCGCAGCCTTGGCATCCGACGCTGCGGCTTCGCGTGGGTCCAAGCTGTAGACGCTCTCCACTTCCGATCGCAGACTGCTGGCTGAGTACACGCTAGACGCCGTCGAACTGTGCATAAGCGAGGCCGCCGCTGTTGGGGGCCGAAACCCTCGGTTGCCGGGCATGCTGGATGTGCTGTAGGTGGACCCCGAGCGGTGGCGGTTGAATGTGGGTGATGAGTAGTACGGTACAGGACTGGAAGTGCGGGACGACGGCACACTGTAATCGGAGCTAGCGAAGGAGTGAGAGAGCGACACAGATCGGCTGTGAGACTCATCGGCAGCATGATTAGATGTGTGGCGGGGAGGAAAGGGCGAATAGCCCCCATGGACGGTCTGCATGGACGGGGGTCGACGGAGAAGACTGCCTTTGGGTCCCCGGTTTGCTACATGCTCGGCAGAGGTCTTTGGTCGATTGAACGCCATGGACTGCGAGCGCATATTGGTTGGCTGGGGGGTTTCGGGCACGTCTGCCAACGCTCGAGGGGCGACAAAAGGGTCGGTGTCCGCTCGCCGAGGATGCTGCCCCGCATAGCGCCCATGTAATTGCAGGCTACCACGCTTCAGATGGAAGGTGGAATCTAGTCGTTTCTCGCTCAGGAGCGGTTGCGATTGGATTGCCTGCTTGAGGGAGTACAGTCCTTTACCACTTGGGAAGCGGTCCGGTTCAGTCGTCGCTGAAATGGCTGACATGGGCTCGGGCTCCTCTACCACCGGACCATCGGTGACCGGGCTTATTAAGATCAGATTAGGCTTAGCAATGGGCTCGACAATGGTGACCTGCTCAGCCACGCAGACATCTGAGTCGTCGACCGAGTCGTCAACCGAGTAAACGGAACAAGGAGAAGAAGATCGTGAGCGACGCTGAGGTTGCAGCGATTGAGGAGGTTGATACACAGTAGGTTGCAAGAAGACTGGAGACCGCAGTGGAGAGGTGCTGCCAGGCGATGGCAGCTCGATGATCACGTCGTCATCATCGTCAAACATGTAAGTCTCCGGCACAAACGTCGTACCGCTGCTGCGTTTCACAGTATCTAGCGAGACTGGCCGGGAGGTCTTGCCTGTGGTAGCATGACTTGACAATAAGCGGGCGAAGGCGGTCTGGTCTGGTGGTGATTGAGGGGAGTTGACGTTGGAAACTTCATCCGCGCTCATGTCTGAATCGTATAGACCGGCGGTTTTGATGGGCGAAAATGCATGGTCATGCGATCCCAACTCCGATTCAGACGTCTCCTCCTCCTCTGATTCGTATTGTCGAGGAAGAAGCTGCTGGTTTAGGTAGTCCAGGTCTAGAGGGGCTGCCGTCTGATACATGGTGATGAGAAGTGAGAAGGTCGAGGAGAGAACGAGATAAAAGGAGAGAAAAGTGATAGAGCCCCCAAACCCGCCAGGTACTCAATAATAAGGAAAGATTAAGTGGATGGACTAGTGGGCCAACCCATGTACACAACAAACAACGAGTGGGAACCAGAGAAAAGAAGAGAAAGAACGTGAGAGGAAATGGTATGAAGATAAGAGAAGGCAAACGAAGCCGACAACCGACAGGAGAAGAGAATGGATGTAAATTATACCGGACAGGGACTGGACAGGGTTAGATGGGCCACACGGGTTGGTATGCTCGAAACGGAGTGGAGCTGGTGGCCCTCCGTTGAGGTTTGTTTGAACGAAGCCACCGAATGCCATCCGATCACACAACTTCCGGAGTGAACGGACCAGGAGCTCCACTAAGGGAGGAGGGGGGAGGGGAGCAAGTCAGAAGAGGGCATTGGGGATTGCAGGAAAAGCAATGCTGCATGACACGTGCGCCACCAGGGGAAGAACTAGGACGGAGTGAGTTTAGAGACCGAAGTTCTCTTCTTTTTTTTCCCTTTCTTTTTTTTTGTTCCTCCTATGTATGTGTACAAGGATCCTGCTTGATTGGCGCTAGTGATCTGTACCTCGGCCTTAGTGGCAGTCACTGTACCTTAGCCAGGTACTACTGCTGAGGAACTTTGCACCTAGAGGGACAAGCGGATGAGAATCCAGGACGCACGAAGAGAATGAAGGTGGTGCTTACGTTTTCATCCTTGCCTGACCCTCCTGCAGCCCCAGGGAGGTGTGGAAGCTCAGGGACAGTTCAGCCGACCCTTGCATAGACGGGGGTATTGTTCATCGTCATCACCACACTCCTGGCCCGGAAAAGCAATGATAACCGACGAGATTGAGCCAAATTGTGGAGGACTAGGCGCCACGAGAGGGACTATTCAATGCGCAAAAGCATGATCTGGGAATTTGGGTTCACAGCGGCCATGAGGAAGGGGAGGGAGAGAGGAGGGAAGGGAGAAGCGGAAGAAGCGCTAAAAGATTGGACGTATCAACGTGAGCTGTCGGAGATGGATGTGTGTGTGGGTGGGTGGTGGTGGTGGGGTGGTAAAGAGTGCCTGAATGCCTGAACGCCTGAACACCTGGAAATTGAGGGGGGGGAAGAGAAGCTCAAAGAGGGAAAGGAAAATCCGTGGCGCGCATCGATGGCGGCCACATCTAGATTGCTGGTTCCCTCATTTCTCAATTCACCACCACCAAATCACCAATGATGATGAGGATCGACTCATGCCAAGCCCGTATGGCCATGTGGATAGGTAACCTTACACCTTGAAGTCAAGCTAAAGCTCAGCTCAGTGAATGCATCCTTCAATCATCTACGGTACGGAGTAGTATTCCTTTCAATGGATGACTAGTTTGCTCAATTGCCTAATCCCATTTGTTGGCCTTTCTATCTGATTCGTGACCATCTCTAGTTCCTGAACCTGTTCCTGTTTGTTCGCTCCTCTCTTGTCCTGGGCTATCCTCCGCATTTTCTCAAACTAGACCACCGGCAGGATCTCTTGCAACCCTAATCGCTTACTTTACTTTCCCAGCACCTCCTCATGCGTCGGACATACGTACGCTTCACTGCGGGTTGAATAATAGCGACAAACTCTCTCCTTGTCCCTGGCCCGATCGAGCTTTGGCCCGGGTCCACCCTAACTTAAGACCTTTGGTGGGGGTGCCTGGTTGGTTTCTGTACCTAGTTTTAGCCTCGATGCCACCGCATTCGATCAGAGCATCAATCAATTTTGACTCTGAACAATGGTCTATCAAATGACACAGTGCACTGACACCACTCGATGGAGAAACCGCATTCAAAGGTGCATTGATACTACTACTTTGTACTCCCATCACTGCCACCAGGGATTTGATACATACTCTCCAGATATTTTCCTAGCAACTATCCCGTTCGTGCCGTTGAGAAACCCTGCAGAGTCAACGCCGCCGCTCCAGGACAGTGGAGCATGTTTAATTCAAACACACCAGACCCCAAAGCCGGTGAACCTCTTCCCGCTTCGACTTCCTCGCCGACTGAGGTCAGATTGCCCGTCTTCCGCTTGGGAATCTTTTTTTTTCTTTTCCTTTTTTTTTTTTTTTTTTTTCTTCATTTCCCTCACTGGAATATACGAGGATTCCAAA